GCTTAGGCCCGCTCCCCAAGGGGAGCGGGGAGCAGGCCTAAGCCGTCACTAGGACATCCCCTGAGGGCTCCCAGTATGTGAGAGGAGGCAGCCTGGGCTGAGGGACACCCCCTGCCAGTGCACGAATTTTGTACACCGGGCCACTAGTATATATATAAAAGACTAAGCAACTGTTACAACCGCACGACCAGTCGACCAGTCACTATGACACACACTAACCACCAGGGGGCAGACACTCAATGCAGGAGCGCCGCTCAGCCAGAAGCCGGGCTCACGGCTGGCAAGTGCAGCTGCAGAGGTGGGAGCCTCTTCCGCCTCCGCAGCAGCGCTACCGAGCGCTGGTGGCAAGTGCAGTGTGGCTGGGGTATGTGGGAGTGGTGCAGTGCCCGACCCTGGCTCAGGCTCCTCCCTGGCCGTCTGCTGCTTAGTGCACTGCTACATCCTTTGAACCTCATAAGCCTGCAGTTACAATCTCCGGAGAATGATCGAAGCAAGGACACTCGGGATAACCAGGATGAGCCTGATATTGCCACTAGGCTCCTGGTACTCTGCCTTGGGCATGGAATCTAATCCCTTGCTGATTGCCCTGGAGCTACAGAGGAAGGCAGCAATATAACATTGGCCACAAGGTAGTGGCTGACAATTGGGGTAAAAGTCAGAGAGAGATGGATCTGAAGGGTGGGGGCATAGGCAACAGAGCACCCCTCTCCCCCCTCCAAGCCCCCCAAATTTGTTCACCTCAGAGTGTCTCTTATCTGGCTCCGAGCTGTGGAAAGCGTCCAGCATGGCCCAAGGTGTCCACTGGGGACCTCCTGGCTGGCAAGGTGTGACCCTGGCTGCAGAAGGGACATTTGGAAATATTTTTTCAGGAAGGTGCAGATAGGAGGACAGACTCCCCACACAACTTCCCGGTATTTTGCAGGAATGTGGGACCTCCCCGGGCACACAGGCATGGGCTCCTGATTTCCTTTCAATGTGCAACGTGCATGGGGCCACTAGTATTAAAATAATATACCGTGAGCATGTAACCTTTATGTAGTCTTTATTCCAAAAATATAATTTTACCATACTTATCTATATTTATAAAAGCCTAAGTGGCCGAATGACTGGTTGACTGGTCGCTATGACATGCACGGACCAACAGGGGGCAGATACTCAGTGCAGGAGCTGCCCCCTGGTGGTCAGTGCACTCCCACAGCCAGCCTCCCATGGGTGGCTAATCTGTGGTCCCTCCCCCTGGCTGGCCTGCCCTGATAGGCCCCGATAGGCCAGCTGGCCAACCTCGTGGTCCCTCCCCCAGCCGGCCAACCTCCTGTGGTCCCAGCTGCCCAGCTCCGATGACCCCAATCAGGGCAGCCGGCCAACCTCCCATGGCCTCTCTTCCACTCTCCTCCCCCCCCGACCCCAGCCAACCTTCCACGGCCCTGATCGCCAGCCAGGCCAAGGGACCCCACCCATGCACGAATCTGTGCACTGGGCTTCTAGTATATGTAATGAAATAATCTATATATATATGTAAAAGACTAATATGCTAAGTGCCCAACCATCCAACCAGATGCTGTGACGAACAGTGATCTCCTGGGGGCAGACGCTCAATGCAGGAGCTGCCATGATGCGCACTGGTCATTTACAGAGAAACAGCACTGTGAACCTGCACCCACAAAGCAACACTTGGCTTCCCCCAAGTGGGACACAGGCCCCACCACCACCCCGGAGCAACAGCCCACCAAATTGCAGCCAATGGTGCCGAGACCCCTTGGCGCAACATGCAGCCCACAGCCCAGCCTAACCCAGAAATGGTGGCTGGAGCACTGGGTAATGATGTCACATAGCAATGCCCAGCTTCCTCTCCCTAGCGACGACTAGCCTCCTTGCAGTTTCTTCAACCCAGGAACACGACTTGCTTTATAGCCAGGTTCAAACATTTCACACTTTAACCAAATGTCTGTGAGGTGTTTTCCCATGCCTCATCTCATTTGATCCTCACAGAAGTCATGGAGTAGGTAGATAGTAGACTTGCTGAAATCCTATTTTCATTAGACGGAAAACAGAGATTTAGAAAGTTTAGAAACTTGACCGGACTGAAAAGCAGTAAGAAATGATGGACCTTGAAAATGACTTCAGGTTTTCTCACTCTGCAGAATATAGTCAGACACTGCTGCAGTTAAATATTTTACCCTTTGTTCTCCCTGCATGATCTACAGTAATAATCTGCTTTGTGTTGACATTTACTGCAGTGTTGCTGACAATTACCTGAAAGAGAAGTTGGGGTACTTCACTGGGCTGGAAAAATTTTAACTAAGTCAGAAAGCAGGTCTAATTAAACAAGTTTACCTATACTATCCTATCTAATAAAAGAGAAACATGGTAATTGGCATACGACCACTACCCTTCCCATTGGCTAATCAGGGCGATATGCAAATTAACTGTCAGCCAAGATGGCGGCCGGCAGCCAGGCAGCTTGAAACTAACATGAGGCTTGCTTGCTTCAGTGACGGAGGAAACCAACGTTCCTTGCCTGCCTTGCAGGCCTCTGAGCCTGCAGTTTGAAACATTTTAACAAATATAGAAGCTAAAAAAAAACCCAGAAACCACCTTTCAGCAAGCTGGGATCTCAGAGCTGGAGTTATACATTGTTTCAAACCGAAACAAACCAGATACCTACTTTCAGCAGCGGAGGCCTAAGAGCTGGAACCTCAGAGCTAAAGCTGGCCCAGAATTAAAAAAAAGAAAAAGAAAAAAAGGAGCAGTTGGGAGCTTCCGTCACCCACCAGCCTGAAAACAGCCCTCAGCCCCTCACCCAGATTGGCCAGGCACCCCAGTGGGGACCGCCACCCTGAAGGTTGTGTGACCAGCTGCAAACAGCCATCATCCCCTCACCCAGGCTGACCAAGCACCCCAGTGGGGACCCCCACCCTGAAGGGTGTGTGACCAGCTGCAAACAGCCATCATCCCCTCACCCAGGCTGGCCAGGCACCCCAGTGGGGACCCCACCCTGATCTAGGACACCCTTCAGGGCAAACCAGCCAGCCCCACCCATGCACCAGGCCTCTACCCTATATAGTAAAAGGGTAATATGCCTCCCGGCACCGGGATCAGCGTGACAGGGGCAGCACCCAAACCCCCTGATCGCCCTGCAGCTCTGTGTGTGACAGGGGGCGGGGCCACAACCTCCCTATCCGCCCTGCTCTCTTTGTGACAGGAAGGCACCCCAACCTCCTGATCAGCCCTGCTCTGTGCCTGATACAGGGGAGCTCCCCAACCTCTGATCGCCCTGCGGCTCTGTGTGTGACAGGGTGCGGCGCCCCAACCCCCTGATCAGCCCTGCTCTGTGTGTGACAGGGTGCGGCACCCCAACCCGCCCCACCCCCACCACGGGCCCTGCTCTGTGTGTGACAGGGTAGAGCCATAACCTCCCCATCGGCCCTGCCCTGAGTGTGCCAGTGGCGGCGTCCCAACCCCCTGATCCACCCTGCTCTGTGTGTGACAGGGGGCGGCGCCCCAACTCCCCTATCGGCCCTACTTTCTGAGTGACAGGGGGAACTCCTCAACCCCCTGATGGGCCCTGCTCTGTGGGTGACAGGGGGGAGCTCCCCAACCCCCTGATGGGCCCTGCTCTGTGTGTGACAGGGGGCAGTGCCCCAACCCCTGGATTGGCCCTGCTCTTTGCGTGACAGGGTTTGGCGCCGCAACCTCCCCATCGAACCTGCCTTGAGTGTGACAGGGGGCGGTGCCCCAACCACCCAATTGGCCCTACCCTGAGCGTGACTGGGGGTGACATCGCAACCTCCCGATCCGCCCTGCTCTGTGCATGACAGGGGGCGGCACCCCAACACCCAAATCGGCCCTGCTCTGAGCCCGACCAGGGGCTGCACCTAGGGATTGGGCCTGCCCTCTGCCACCTGGGAGCAGGCCTAAGCCAGCAGGTCGTTATCTCCCGAGGGGTCCCAGACTGCGAGAGGGCACAGGCCAGGCCGAGGGACGCCCCCTTTCCCCCCGAGCGCACAAATTTTTGTGCACCAGGCCTCTAGTATATATATAAAGGTCTCCCTGGCGCCAATCACACGTGTGTTTTGATCTGTCATCATCAATATAATTTGGTTGACACTTCTATTGAAAAAGGTCGAATAGCGTTATTAAAATATTTCTTTTAATTAATTTCCTGTCAATGTGAACAAATCCTTGCACTGGGCCACTAGTTCATTATATCAGTACATCAAGGGGAGAGAGGATATTTAATCATTTCAATAATTGCTGATAAGGTGTGCCTGGTAAAGACAGAGAATTAGAAGGGTACTTTTTACCTTTTGATACAAAATATCTTCCCAAACTTATTTTCATTTTCATGTGGTTTTAAGGCCATGACAGTGAGTTGTTTTCTTTTTAAAAACATGAATTGTTTGAGATAGATTTCTTTGGTTGCAAACATCAAAAACCAGTCCTGCTGACTTAAGCAAACCCATAATTTATTGGGGAAATATGGGGTAGTTCATAATTATGAATAGGCACACCAGATAACTAGAAGTAGTGCAAGTCCAGGACATAGGCATCATTATGCCTGGTCCATTGCTGCTTTTTTTTTCTTCCTACTTAGCTCAGGGTTCAGAGTTATGGGGAATAGAGTTCTGTTCATGTGTTTGAATCTCATGCCCTACTTAACCTAGTAGAGATTCATTAATAGGCAGTTCTATCATGACTACACAAGGGAGAGTATACAGTTCTCTATAGTAGCCTGAGTGCAGTTAGGAAAGGGGAATGGAAAGGCAGCCAAGCCACACCTTCTCACTCCCTACAAAATTAACCAAGATATCCAGTAACATAGACAGTTTTGGCTTTTAACCCTTCTTTAGTTTATTATTTAAAGTCTAAAACTGATCAATCCTTAATTCTTAAGAATAAATTACCTCAAAAATTTTAAAAAATTTTAAATGCCTAAGATCTTAATTTATATGTGAACAGTATCAATATTTAGATACTTAATGTAATCTTTTTCTTTTTAGACAATGCGAAGACACAGAAATGAAGTGACAGTTGAACTACGAAAGGTAAGGATGATTTACATGTAATGAAAAGTAATGAGGATATTTTTTCTGATGTTAAAATTCTGTATAACTTGAATAATGAAAATAATATGGCAAATTAGTGGTCATCTCTAAAACCACATAGCATAAAAATACACCATTTTTTATAAAATCTTAAAAGTAGCTGGGATAGAACCAAGATGGCAGCATAGGTAAACGCCAGTACTTGCTGCCTCCCACAATCACATTAAAATTACAAGTAAAATACAGAACAACCATCATTCAGAACTGCCTGAAATGTGGCTGAATGAAAGTCCTACAACTAGAGAAGTAAAGAAAGTATATCGAGATAGGCCTGATACCCAGGTGTGACATTTTTTTCTCGGCTACTGAGGCCTCCTGTGAGAAGCAGGGGTGCCAGCCCCACAACAGATCCCCAGCTCAGGGTTTCAGAGCTGGGAAGAGACATCCCTATAACTTTAAAACCAGCGGGGATTGTGGCTGAGTGACAAGGAGACCCCTAGAGACCCAGCAGTTCCTCTTAAAGGGCTGACACATGAACTTACATGGTCCCACTTCCTCTGAGCTCTAGCACTAGGTGGTGGCTTATGGGGAGGAACTAGATTGTCTGACATCAGGGCAAGAACTCGGGGGTGGCTTTCTCCCAGACAGGGTTCATTGTTCCTGTGCTGGAATCTCCCCTGTTGCAGTGCTGACTGGCAGCCATATCTGAATTTTCATCATTGTACCCCACACTGGTCACTCCACCTTGGTGATTCCCTGAGAACCCGACCCATTCAATTTGAAGCCCCACCCAAGCTGTTTGCAGCAGCTTTTCCATATGAATGGTCTGTCCTGGTTCAGGCTTCAGACTTTTCTAAAATCTCTCAAACAAGCAGCAGCTGGTATCAGCATGCCCCAAACCTATCAATAAGAGACTGAAGGCCCAGCACTAGCACCAGCCTGTCTTGCTTCACAGCGAGGCCTTGTCTGGGCACTTCCAAACCCAATATAATAGCAGCCATCTGCAGATCTCTCTGTAGCTCTTGCTGGACAGCCCCAAGCAATAGCTGGCTTTGCACTTCCCCGGAAGCCCCAGAGCCACAGCACCTGGGGGACAGCTTCAGACCATATCAGATACATAGGGGTGTCTCCTGCACAGCAGCTCTTCATTGTAGATGCAGCTGGTCCCTACAGTCAATTGGCCTGGAGGTCAGCTCCTCCCAGTGACACCAACAGCAATCAAGTCTCAACTACAAGACTGCACACAGCCTACACAGGGGTGAACCTAGAGGGCCCAGCTTAGGTGACTGGGAAGCTACACAGGCCACCCTACCAATTCCAGGAGACATAACTGCTCTACCTAATACATAGAAACAATCACAGGGAAGCAGCCAACATGCGGAGACAAAGAAACATGTCACAAATGAAAGAAATGAAAGCAAGCAAACTACTGGGTACAGAGTCAAAGAAATGGTTATAAGGTTGCTCAAGGATCTTAATGATAGCTTCATGGGACTTAGTGAGACTCACAAGAATCTTAGAATTTCAAAGACATGAAAAAGGACCAGTCAGAAATTAAGCATACACTAACTGAAATAAAGAATAATTTACAGGAATTCAATAGTAGAATATTCTGAAAATCAAATCAATGATTTGGAATATGAGATGAAAAAAAAAAAACACAACTCAATCAGAAGAGCAAAAAGAAAAAACAATCCAAAAATATCAAGATAGCTGGAGGGGGTCAATGGCGGGGAAAGGGGGACATATGTAATACTTTCAATAATAAATAATTATTTAAACAAAAAAACATAAAAATATGAAGATAGTGTAAGGAGCCTCTGGGACAACTTCAAGTATACCAGCATTTGCATTAAGAGGGTGCCAGAAAAAGAAAAGAGAGAGAGCAAGATATTGAAAACCTATTTGAGGAAATAATGGCAGAAAACTTCCCCTATGTGGTGAAAGAAATAGATTAACAAGTCCAGGAAGCACGGAGTCCCAAACATGAGGAATCCAAAGAGGCCCACACCAAGACACATCATAATTAAAATGCCAAGGGTTAAAGACAAAGATTGAGACTCTTAAAAGAAGCCAGAGAAAAGCAATTAGTTACCTACAAGGGAGCACCCATACGACTGTTTGCTGATTTCTCAACAGAAACTATGCAGGCCTGAAGGGAGTGGCAAGAAATATTCAGTCATGTAAAGCAAGGATCTACAACCAAAATTGCTCTACCCAGCAAAAGTTATCATTTTGAATGAAGGTCAGTTAAAGGCTATACAGACAAGAAAAAGCTAAAGGAATTCATCATCAAATAAGTATTAAATGAAATGTTGAAGGGTATTCTTGAAGAAAAAGAGAAAGGAAAGAAATAAAAAATATGAACAATAAAAATGGCAATACATATCTATCAGCAATTGAATCTAAAAATCAAAATAACTAAACAAGAAATCTAATGAACAAAATAAACTGATGAATAAAATAGAATCAGAGGCATGGAACAGACTGATGAATCTCAGAGGGAGTTAGTGAGGGGGTTGCAGGAAGAGATTAACCAAAGTTCTTATATGCATATATGTATTAACTCTGGACACAGACAGTAGGGTGGTGAAGGCCTGGAGTGGGGTGGGAATTGGGTGTAGGGGAGCAATAGGGAGGAAAAAGGGGGATATCTGTAATACTCTCAACAATAAAGATTTTTTTAAATAAAAAAGAAAAAGAAAAGTATCTGCTAATTCCAGTGTTCTTTCAATTACTTAACTTCTTCATGGATACTTATAAATTAACAACAGTGTTTGGGCAGTCATATTTTTAAGTTTTTTCATATCCTTGGGTCATTTGTACCAGAGATGTGAACTAAGCCTTAGCCTACCTAATACAGTGAGTAAAGTGAGCTCCTTGCCAATCTTAACATTTTGGTCTTAGCATTTTTTTTTCTTTGTAACTTTTTATTAACATATAGCATACATACAAAAAAAGTTAACACATCTTAAGTGTACAACTTGATGAATTTAACAAAGTGAACACATCTGTGTAACCAGCTCCTGAGTCAAGAACATTACCTGTATCCTAAGGCCCCTTATGGATTACTACTTTCCCCCAAAGACTATTATCTTGGTTTCTTACACTATGAATTATTTTGCATATTTTGAACTTTATCCCATATAATAAAAGCCTAATATGCTACGTGTCCAACTGTTCGTTTGACGAGTCACTATGACGCACACTGACCACCAGGGGGCAGATGCTCCAACCGGTAGGTTAGCTTGCTGCTGGGATCCGGCCAATCGGGACTTGGCGAGATGGGCTGGACACGCCCTGGAGCCCTCCCGCAGTCCCTCCCCACCCCGATCATGCACAGATGGGGTCCCCCAGCCTGGCTTGCACCCTCTCCAATTCTGGGACCCCTTGGGGGATGTCAGAGAGCCAGTTTTGGCCCAATCCCCATAGGCCAGGCCAACGGACCCCACCAATGCATGAATCCGTGCACTAGGCCTCTAGTATAAATAAAATAGTGTGTGCCCTTTTTTGTCTGGCTTTTCGTTCATCATTTGAAGATCATTCTCCTTAAGAAAGGGAATAAGAATAAAATTGAAGTTAAGTATTTATTTATTGTCATCTGTTAACATTATACCAGCTATCCCCAGATGTGGGCCTTTGGTTTTTCTTAACATTTCATGCTTGGAATACAACTATAAAACTTTTATATTGGTCTTGGTATTATTCAGACTCCTCCCCTTGTTTTAAGCTTTTTAGCATTTTAGTATGCTTCTAATTTTTTTAAACTATTTACTTATATTTGTTATTTGTTCTTCCCTCTATGACTGTACTACCTTATGTAGTTAATTTATAGAGTTAAAAATACTTGCTTGTCGTCGTGTGTTTATTGATTTAGAGAGAGAGAGAGAGTTAAGTTCTTACATAAGTTCTTCACTCATTGGTTGATTCTCGTTTTTGCCCTGACCCAGGATCCAATCCACAACCTTGGCATATCGGGATGACACACTAACCTTCTGAGCAACCTGGCCAGGGCAAAGCATGATTTTTAATATCCACGTTAGTTAATTTAGAGACTCTTATCTCTTCTGTATAATATTGTTTCTTTTTCACTTTCCACAGTTAGTTCCTGAACATCCTATAGGACGACCAAAAATAAAATTTACTAAAGAAATCTCAAGCAGTCCCTTATTTCACATGTCAGGATTCCCTGAATAAGCAGCAAAAAGTGAACCAGTCCTTCCTGAAACAAAGCCTAAATTTCAGACAATGCTTAATTGCTTTTGATATGATTCTACAGAGGTGTGGAGAGCCCTTCAAGAGAAGATTCCTCTACTCTTTATCATCAGAGCATTTAACTCTGACTTCAGCCTTACTATTTCTGTATCTCCGTTGAATAGAAAATCACAGTGTCATTACCTACATTGAGATTCTTGAAAATACAAGAAAATAGAGCTACTTCCAAGAGTTTCATAGATGAGCTCTACCCATTTCTATTAGATTACACACTTCTAAAATGAAGGTAATAACCAGTTCACCGCCCCCCCCCCCCCCCCCCCCCCCCACACACACACACACACACTCCCACCCTAGATATTCCCAAGTCTCCCTCCCAGGTCATCCCAAAATTCTTAGTCAGATTCTGGACATGTCATTGTCACTCATTAAATGTTAATATTCAGAAATTAAATTGAATGATGATATCTTAAAATTTTGCTTGTATTTAAATCATTTATTGAAGTTTTATGAAAAACATCTTAGATATAGAACAGTGCTACTCAGAAGTCCTGGGATAAGTTAGGGGACTTGTGTCAGAATATTAAACAAGGCACTGCTTCCTTTACCAAGGAAGTCTTTCTGCCTAAATAAATCACAGAACTAAAGTATATTTAGTTTCATAGTTGATTTCTGGCACAAACTCCTATCTTATAGCAGACCTGTAAGAGATATTTCAAAGACCTTTAGTCAGTCCAAGGACCATACTTTGAATAGCACTGAAATTGACTTATCAAATTGAGGGT